ACTCTACCCCAGCCAAAACCAGGACAAACCTGCAGCGCACTGGGAAACTGGGGGCACAGAGGTCAGGGGACAAGAGAAGAGGGTGAGGGAGGCAGAGGACCTCTGGGTGCTGAACCCATGAACTAGTCAAATCTGTTAATGCTGTATTGGTTTACCCAAGCTATAAACTACAGCCAGCTTGGGTCCGGCAAGATTTCTTAGTTAAAGCGTAGCACCACTTGTGCTAGGGTTAGCCATGCTGTTTCCAGTCCAGTGTGCGAGCACAAAAGCCCACATCAACTCTCTGCACCATGTTCCTCAGCACTCCAAGATTTAGATGGCCTCTTAGCTTGAATGTGGGGCCAAACCCGATCAAGGTTTCAGGCTGCGCTGGATCAGCACTGGATGCCTTGTGCCAACCCAACCCACAATTATCTTAATTAAAATTGGCTTCTGGTCTTACAGGTCCTGATGAATGTCAGCTGTCTCAGCAGTTAAGAACCTGCTTCCAAAATTGCCCTAAAATAACAAATGTCAACTCTTCCATTTGTCCGAGTACTGGGACATCACCACATTGCATCAGGCCTGCTTCCCAATTGGACAAAGGAAAAACAGCTCTTTAAGCTGATCATTCCTGTCTAGTTTTTGAACTATAATACAAAAGACAAAGGAGGATGAAACCTCCTACTCTTGGCAGATTTAATTCTTAGTCCTGCCCCTCCACCACCCACCTGCCCCATGCACAGTCCTAGGGTGACCAAAACCCACATTTTTTTTGTGATCAATCTCGCTTCCAAAATGTCACCTAGTTCTAGCTGTGCTGAATTTGGGTAAACGTTATCTTTTTCCACTGTTGCCTACAGACCGCATGCAGGCAGCTGCATGCTACAAAAGTGTGATTTTAAAGTAATTCTTTGAGATTTCCAACAATTTTCAAGAGGTTAGGAGGAGGTATTACTGATGCTTCTTGACATTACTGTATGCTACATATGTTATGAAATGTACACAGGCACCAATTTTGAATTACAGTGTTGTCTTCCGCATTTTACTCTGTATGCATCCCCGCTTCTTAAGACCTCATGACAAATGCACTTGAATCTAGGAGGTAGCTCTATCTTTAACTCCAGTATTTTAATTTTAAATCTGCCTGCTAAAACAGAAACAGCCTTCAAAGATTTAGCCAAATTCTGGCTTCTTAAAATTCAATAATAAGATCACACAAAACCACACCAATAAGGTCACACTGGTTTTGACCAACCAGTCATCTCACTTTAATTTAAAACTTATTGCCCAATACGGCTTTAACGAAAAAGAAATAATTTCAGAAAATGGATTGTCCTGTTAAGATAATATAGAACAAATAGCTGATTTATTAGCAATCTCTCCCATAACTCATTATTTAGTGAATCAACAGCTGTTCACTACAGAGGGATAGATGGCATGTCTTAGTCAATCATTTAGCTTAGTATTCAATTTTGAAAAGTGACTGATAACAACTGTTTGAGGGGAAAAAATACACAAGCCTGTAGAAGGCAAAGGTAGGATAATCTGATCACTAGAATGATTTTATCATGAACTTCACCGAGCAGTATTAGCTATGGCCAGAGAAACATAAACTTGCTTTTCTTGCATCTTTAGATATGACTGAGCAGTCCTGCGATTTACCTAAATGTTGCCCCATCTTTCCCTGGATGGAGCCTGTTCCCTGGTTTCATCAGCACACAGTGCAGATGAGTTCCACGAACCAATTACGCCTTATGTGAAAAGGTGTTTCCCTGTGCTAGGTTCGTGTTTTCCACCTTCCAGTTAAGTTCTTCAGCTATACAATAAAAAGCATAGAAATGCTGGCTCAGCCTTTCATAATTTACATACTTCTAACACTTTCCTTCTGAATCATCTGCTTTCTAAAATGGATGTTCTTGGTTTTTTCCCCAAAAAATGCTCTTCAAAAAAATTTTCTTCAATCTTTATTTCACCATTCTCTCAATCTTCTTAGCCTGCATTAGTTTTTCTCAGAGGGTAACAGTAACTTTGAAATAAATCATTCCAGAGAAGAACTTACCACCAGAAACATAGTGTTCTGTCATGCTCCATTCTGTTCTCGATAATCCCATTCATTTGTTTGACCACATAAAGAGCATTCCCTTATGCACAGTGACACACAAGACTCTGTCCTGAGCTGACACGTACAAAATCTCAGGTATTTACAAGAAAAGCTGCATTTGTCTCAGTACTTTATGTTTATCAAAGTCTGCCACTCCATCTGATCTCCTCACCCTGTCAGGTCTAGCTGTAGTTCCTGGTAGCACCCCCTCTGCCTCACCAACCTGAGGAACTCTATCAAAGAATTTAGTAAATATCACTGTGTCAGCAGTCATTCTTCTTCTCAGTTCAGGAATGCATTACCTAAGGCCAATCCTAATACAAACCACCAGTGTTCACCTTTTCAGTTACACCATTTCTCCTTATTTTTTGGTCCCTCAGACAGTTTTACATCTACCACAACATTACGCTTCTTATTCCAAAGGCTTCAAAAAAGAAAATAATAATAAAAACCCCAAATATATTTAATTCAATCAGTTCTTTATTCATTGCCTTTCCAAGAATCTCAGACAATGGTAACGGAATAGCAGAAAAACTTTCCTCTGCAGAAATCGGTCTTGCATACTACTATGTAAGTTGTTTGGTTTTTTTTTTTAATTCTACTTTTAACTATGAAGTATATTCCTTGGTCACATGAGCAGCCTTTTAAGCAAGCACACTAAAAGATGCTTCCTTGAAATCCTTTCACAGAGTAGGCTCTTTTTAAAGAGGCGAGTTTGCGGGTTCATGCCCCTGACGCGGTTGCTTCATTCCTAAAGCCCTTCAGAACGCCTGACTTCATTCCAGTCAGGGTGGGTGACTCACATCGGTTGGCTTCAGCAACTCTTTTGACATGCCAAAAATCCATTAGCTTCATCAGCAGAAGAAAGCTGACTGGTTACCTTCCCACTATTCTTTGGGCTGAACACTAAGGCAAAGAAACTTTCATGTTTTAACATTTTCATCTTTCTTAATTTTTAAATCCCAGATGACCCAGCACGCACATTCCTCCTTGGGCTTCCCATTTCCAATACATTCCAATAGTTGTGTTTACATAGCTTTAGATATTCACCTTAAAAAAAAAAAATATTTAGGATGCTACGATTTTGTTTGTGGCCATTTATGTTCCTTGGGTTTGGGGGTTTGGTTTGGGTGTTAAGTTTTATTTTCAAAAGTCTTTAACAGGCTTTAGCTTAACTAAACCCTTAAACCTCACAGATATCACAGATATGCATGATGTGCTTCGAAACTTACTCAACTTGGCCAGAAGCATGCGTATATGAAGTCAACATGTAATACAGATCTCTGAAGTCTGCAGATGCATTAATCTAAATATATACTAGGTTACCATGTCAAACACCTTTCACGTACAGCCCAGCTGATGGATGTTCATCCCATGTCCTGTACATCAGTTCACATCCATCCATCTGGTGCTAATGAATCGCTGTTGTTGTTAAGACACGTGAACATGAACCCTACAGAACCTGCGTGAGAGAGACTCCATTTCACATTAACTTGCTGGCGTAGTAAAAACCAGAGAAATCGGGGCTGAGCAAACAGTCCTTCTTGGCTGGAAATTTCTAAAAGGTTCACAAGTTTGAAATGCCGAAAGATGCATTAAGCATTTGTTTGGATTCTCAACTTCTTTAGAATAACCTAGTAACAAATTACCAAAACCACCTTAAAAACCTACTTGAGAACAAATTTTCCATCCCATCCACGGTTATGCTTCCAATCTCCTTTAGAATCCGCTTCCTGCTTTGATCTGTCAAAGGTGGAAGCAGTAAACACATCGAGCAGATTAAGTCCCACTTGCTTTCCTGGACTTCAGAAGAAATAGGCGCTCTTCCAATACACTAACTGAAGCCAATCCGTACCCTCATTTTTCCATAGCTGACACCCTAGACAGTGAAAGTCAAATTAAGCGACAACTGTAAAAAAAAATTATGTCTAATTTGGGGAGAACATAGTGGCAATAGAGGTGAGTATGAAAGTGAGTATCATTTCCAGCGAAAATGGACTGCAAGAGCAGCCTTCGGTTCCTTCAAGGCACTTTGTACTGACATCCTACCAAGCCCTACAAAGTACCAGCCCTTCCAAAGTGCTCAGATAGTAGCCTCATCTCGTCATCTCGCCAAGTACTGACATCTGAAACAACCTCCGTGGTTTACTGAGTGTAAAAAAACGAAGCATCAGATCACTGTGGAGTCTGCGCTTGCAACGATCATCTGTGTACTACAGTTTTATCAATGAGTTTATGCATGTCTACACATCTGGGAAAAATAACATATATACATTTACTTAGCACACAAATATCACAAGTATCTCTGCAAATATTTATACCAGATGCCTGCAGGCTATAAACATGAGACTTCCTTATTTTCCATACGCAAGGCCAGAGTCAAAGTTAATTTTCACCTTTAATAAGCTCATGATTCTTTGTTATTTAATACTCTGTAAAAAGGTATTACAGATGGATAGATTATTGCAGTGACTTCTAAAGAACATGGACAGCCATGAGGCTGAAACTACAATATCATATACATTATGTAGTCATTGATACTATCTACCACAGCATGAAGAAAAATACTTCTAAAATAAACATTATTTAACTGAAAACATAGAAATGGAGCTTTCTTTCTTACAGTATGGTTACATATCTATATTCCAAGAATAACATTTTAAAAAATGCTAGATCTTGAAAGGTCATAGATAAAAAGAGTCATGATGAAGATGAACCAGTTTTGCCCAGAAATACTATAATGAGCACACTGCAGTTTTTCAGCAAATCCTAGTTTTGCCAAGCTTTAAGAGGCAAAAGCCTGAAATGTAAAAGCTTCCAAATTGTCTAGCTAGTCCACTCGTCCTCCGCTGGAAGGCCCAGTGACCCACACTGCTCTAAGACAGCGTGTCACCACAACTGTTCTTTGCTGACATGAATGCCATTGGGAAGACACAATTCAGGTCCTTACGATGCCAGGCCTAACAAAAAGCCTCCAACAAATCCACTGGACACCACGATGTTCTGCTTGATAAATTCTGTTGACTGAGAAGAAAAATAATATTTGTAAAGAACTGAGTCAGTTGTGTCTGATTGTAACATTTCATACTCATCACAATTGCCTGGAAACAAGAATACTAAAATTATGGAGGAGGGGAAGCAACGTGTTTAAAAACATACAAAGCTACGTGGCAACTGCTGGCACCAATGGAGTGGAAACTGACTCTCAACTGTCTTTAACAATATATTTAAAATACAGTTAGCATTTCAGAAGTCAAAATACAGGAGAATTGTCATAGCAATTTCATGCCAATACCACTCTTGTTTTGATTAAAACAAGGCAGATGTTTTACAAACTCCCTTGGCAAAAAAGCATGAGCACTACCATCACTTCAATTTTAATCACATGAAAAAAGTTTTTTAAAAAAAAATGCTGTTTTTTGGAAGACTAGATCATTGAAAAAGAAATACACTTCACTCCATTATGAGCCAGATTCCTAACAACTCAATGCTACAAAAACCACTTATGTATGGCAACATTTGTATACAGTATTTCATTAAGTAATAGCACAGAGTATTACATGTTATATCAAACATTGCCATTTCATAAATCCTCCACTTCAAACACTTCAGATTGGCTACCAGTGCACAATTAGAAGAAAGTAACATAATCTGGGGGGAGGTGGGGGGGAAGAAAAGAAGAAGGGAAAAAAAAGAAACAACCAAAAACCCCATCCTGTCCCACCCATTTCTGCAAGGCAATAGAAAAGGACAGGTTAAGCTACCTGGGGTATAAAAGAAGCTAGAAAACCATCTCTCTTGAAACTTCCACTTCACATTCACATTAAAATTTAAGGTAATTTTTATCAACCTTTGTGCAACTCCATACAGGTTAAATCTGAGACACCAAAACTCTTAATTACAGAGCGCTAGTGTGGCTGCTGTTAGATTGTCTGCAACATATTCCAAGTCAGGATTCACAGTTACTGAGAAAGAAACTTAGATCGTCTGTATGAAATTTGAAAATACGTGAAAACAGACTAACCAGACTTTTTTTTAAAAAAGATAAAACGATTAAATAGAAGTCTTCAATGACAGAATGAAATAGCCTCAGTGACACTGATCAGTATCACAGGCTCCCTCTTTTCAACATAGTATGTAACTGACAGATTCTGAAGACAGATATACTTCAAACTGTATAAAAATGAGGTAAAAACCACAACTCCAGTTATGAAGTGGTTATAGCTTTTCTTCAGAAAGAAAGGTCAGTCTTTTCCAACCAAGGAATTTTGTTATCAGCAGACTAAGACGATTTGGTTTTTGTCTTTGTAGCTACCATGTTTTAACCACAACACCCTCAACTTTTTACTGTGTCATGACCTTACTACTTTCTTGCTAGCCAAGAATCTTCACAGACTAAATGGCAAAGCCAACGGCAGTCTCTAAGCTGTATCAGCTGTAGAAATGCATTAACTTTGAAGTTCGTGTGTCATCTTTAAAAGTGAACAAAATAGAACGCTAAATGAATAAAAGACTAGAATCTGATGACTTTTAATAAAATACACAGCCAGATCATTTCTGACGCCTTCCAGTTTTGCACATGCATTTTCAACTAATCATCACCTGCAGTGGAAGGTAAGAAAAACTGGCTGGTAGAAGACAGTTTATCACCTTAGACTTACCTCTTCAATTAGAGTATTGATTTCAGGTGCTGCCTTATTTGCACGCTTTTTAAACTGTTTTTTTGCTTTGTTTACATCTTTTTCAACTCTCTTCCAGTCAACTTGTACATATCCACTATGACTAGCAATCTAGGAAAATAAAGTGCATTTAGTACAGTTGTAGTTAACATTTTATGAGTCAAAATACAGTATCTTAGTGCCTACACTTTTTTTTTTTTTCTTTTTTAATTACAGATATCGGAAAAGACAAAGTACCAAATAAGCAGGTACTCTGCTTCAAACACTAGTACTTTCCACAATAACAACAATTCAAATTAGAACAAGCAATGACAAAGTTCAGTAGACTACTGTTAGTTTTACCACTTCTCTATTGTTTAGTTGTAAAAGCTTTAAATAACAATATTTTTCCTTCAGCATTTACCATAACTTTACTTGTAAGAAAAGGCAAGAGTAAAGCACGTTTATAGGACAACAATGAAAAAACTGTTTCATTTCAGCATCTTTCAGAATTGTCGAATTCTGATTTGTGGCAGGATATTTGGTACTAATCAGAATCATCCCTAGAAATACTGAAAATTATTATTTTATCCTACATCATTTAAACTGTCAAAGAAAAAAGTATTTAATACAAGAGAATTCTCATACTTTCTACAAAATCAGTAAGTAGAAAAATAACATGGCCTGTGTACAGCAGAAGTTCTGTAACATCAGCAAAATGGATAAGTTTTGGGGGATTGTTCACACTAATTTACTTTCAAACTCCCAAAATGCTTAAACAACATCCGTGAGATTTTTAGCACATTTAACCATCAGCCCAACCCTTTGCCTTATTTCTCTTACTAAGAATTTATCCTGGAAAAAGTAAGGTGTTCTGTTAACCAACACTGACAGTCCCACCAATTTCCTTAAGACAATTCACAAAAGAAATACATATTTAAATGTTTTTAAGGTCATAGCTTAAAAAAAAAAATATCAGGCAATTACTGCATGCTCTAGAGAACACTTAAAACAAACAACTCATTAGTTGGAAAAAAAGACAGGAAAAATCAAAACTAAGGATTACTGCTTTTTTTAATGGCTAAAACAAATAGATACAGACCACTAAATTTAAAGGTAAATGACTGTTCTACAAAAAACAGTTTATGAAGAATAAAATTTCTCAGATCTTTCTTAAGGTCATGTTTGGCAAGTTCATGTAACTTATGTAAGAGCGTTCTATGCAAATGGTACAATTGGTAAATAAAATTCACAGATAATGAAGTGTTGTGGAACAGATATTGAAATATACAATTTAGTCAGTATGGCAGAAAAAGAAATGTTTGACATCGCTTGCAGGCACTGAATTTTATTTTTCACATAGTTCCTTCTACCAAATACTGAAATTAGACTATCTAACCTGTTTTAAAACAGACATAATAATTAAGCAACATATTTCACCACAAATAAGAATTTCATGATCCTCAAAAAAACCCCAAACAAACCCTAAAATGAAGCAAGTGTCAGACAGATTTTGTCTAAATTAAAGTTCCTAAATGAAGCTCCTAAAAGACCACCTATGTAAGAAAGTAGACTTCAGTTTCCGTTTTTGAACAAGATCTAAAAGACAATTAACTGGACAAATGCAAAATTTTATTGTTATTAAGTATTATACTCTCCTTTACTTCATACCTCAGAATATAACAAATTCATTGACCTTGCCTGTCTATTGTAAAACCACTTATCCACACAGGCACTAGTGTTAGGCAGGAATAGCTAATTAAGGACTGTCTATACAGTATGAAAATATGAGCAAGTCACTGGATGACATACCAGGAAAAAAAATGTTGTGCGCTCAGGTAATTTTTATATTATACATTTAACATTACCACAAGAATTTCAAAAAGGCCCAAGTGTTGAATTGGTGCCTTTTAATTCATAAAACTGAAAACTAAATATGGACTGATCTACCTAGTCCAACATAATGTAAGAAATGCTAATATATTTGCTTGCTTGAAAGTTGTAAAAAAAACCCAAAACAAAACAAATGGGACTTTAAAAGAAACATTTCATTAAGACTAGTTTAATTAGCTCAGTTATCCATAGAATACAAGGATGAGGCAGAAGTTTTTAATTAAGTTCTGTTTAGCTCTCCAGTAGATACAACTTATATTTGTATCAAAACTCCAGTTTAGATAACAAAAATTAGACTACTTTTCTCCCTGAACTTAGTAGCAGAAATCTGTTCCGCGTTTGAGCTTTTGTACACGCCTATGAAATAAGCAAGAAAGGACAATGTTTTGAATATAAAATTTATAACTGAGAAGGAAAAAAAACCCAAAACTGCATTTCACTGCAGTAATAGTCAGAGCCTGTGTCTATCTACTTTGGCTGCAATCCTACTAATTTCATAACTTTGTATGTAAGCACAGAAATAATCCCACTGAACTCAAATGTTGGTGAGACAACTTCAATTTTTAGACCCTAATACTTCATAAAAAACCTATTAGCTTACAGTAAATTTACATAAACACAAATTCTTAAAGTTCATTAATATTTTTAAACCCAGCCCCTAAAATAACAGAGAAACTAAAATAATAATATTCCATTATCAGTTCCATACTTTTATATATATTAAAGAGTCATATAGGTCTATACATATAGAGAGATATATATACTTAAAAGAGCCATATAGGGGGTGTGTGTGTGTATCTATACATACAGAAATATATCTCTCTCTCTCATATATCACATTAGTAAAATTTATTTTTGTTTCAGATCTTCCAGAACTGTTGAAAAAATAATGGATTTTTTCCAAAAAGGAAATTGAAAAAATATATCCATTCAGGAATACTAAAAGTATGCGCATCTTCTCTACATTAATCAAAGAAAACAGAGATCTAAAGGAAAGACCTCATTTTGGGAGTGATACTGGAGAGGCACACAAGTACCTCGTTATTGTGAAACAATATTAAGGGTAATGAGCAAAAAACATTTACGAGCAAAAAATTGATACGGCAAGAAGGGATAAAAGAGTTTTAATTTCCTCAAAGACAAAATCTCTCATACTAAAAAAGCCCAGAAGGTACAGGCGAGCTCCCTGTGTTCAGTTGCTTGTGCAGCATACAGAAGCCATGTATACTTCTAGGCATTTTCTGGTATTTAGACAGGTAGCAACCCCCATCACACTCAACCAGTTTCCAGAACAGATCTGCCAAGTCTCTAACTTCAATATACACATAAGGAGGGACTGAGAAATGATACAACATTTTTTGTAAGAGTTTAACTGCAGAGGCTGTATCTTCAGCCACCATCTGCTGGCACAGCTCCGTTGTAACCAGTGAAACTACTCCACTTTACAAAGGCAGAGAAACGATGCCCCTCCATTTCACGTCAAAACCTGCCAGAAATATGGTATTTCTTTAAAAGGCTAGCTTCCAACTACCATTTGCTTTGGCTGTTCCACTGAATGTTCCCTCGAAGTCTGCAGATATCAACTGTGAAGTGGGGTATTCAATGCAAAACTGAATACAACTCTTTCTTATTAAGTCCCCACCCCGAGAAGCATGTTGTTCTCTCCTCACTTCACTGAGATGCCACAACATCCTCATGGCATGGTATCAACAAACCTCCATACAATATAAAGCCAAGGATATCTTAGAGTTTATTTTGCTTCTTGTGTTGTTTTCAAAGATTTACTTTTCTTCAGTTAGAAAATAATTTAATGAAGAATTGAATTGAATTCATCAATGGCATGCTAATGGAATGAGGCAAAATCTACTAGTGAAAGCAAAAATAACTGAAAAAAAATACAATTTTATGATTAAATAATAGTCAACACACAATGGAGAAACCTGCAATTTGTGTGTTGACTGCAGAGCAAAAAGCAATGGAACCATTATTAAAGATACAGGAGTTTAAAAACACAGAGAGAATGGGTGCTCATTAAGAACAACTGTTTTTAACTAATTCATTACAGCAGAACCACATGAGTTCATACTTCACTACTCTTCAGGATTTCACTAAACTCTGTGCTGTATAAACTAGAAGTTATACAAGGAAAATCCCTTACTTGCTCTGAGAAATGAATTCTACTTTCCTTAACACAGTGCATGGGTATTAGTCTTACACCAGCATATTTGAAGAGCTACATCTATTTCAATAAAAAGGATAGTCAACTGATCAAATTAAGCTGTTGACATATCTAGCACAAAGATGTGATAACAGATCTTAATTTTGAAAAACTATGCAAATTCCTTAATGTCATTTTTATTTTCTTCCTCAGACTACTTTTCATTTAATCTGTATTAAGACTGAAAAATTTCTAGATCACTTACAAAAATCTGAAAAAAATACTGAAAAGTACAAACTGACACTCCAAAAATGTATTGCTTTCGGTTTCCTTCTAGATTTCTTGAGATGAAGTCATCACACGCTGAAGAAAAAAAAAATGCATTTTTTTAGTTTCAGGACAGAAATGTTTCACTGAATGGGCTTTAGCCAAGAATCTTGCCTTCTGTAGTTCTTCTTGGTTTAGCAGGTAATTACAACGTCAATATTGCAATCAGGAGTTGAAATGAAATCTGCAACTTCAGAGAAATTTACAGATAAAAAGGAAGTTTCTAGTCACGTGCTGAAACACTCCCCTGCCCACTCAGGGGAAGCGCTGAACATGTATTCATAGGGAAATTAAAAATCATGATGTGTGATCTTTAAATTAAAAAATTAAAGACTACAGAAATGTCATTACACTATAGAATTTATGAATCAGCTTTAAAATGCAAAATGTTTTGAGTTAAACTGGAAGACCAAGGCATTTACTTCATTCCCTTCCAAGAGAATCTGATCTTAATTAAAGATATAGACAACTCAATCAAAATATGCAACTCATTTTTCCTCTTGGATAATACTCCTTTCCAGATACACTGTAAATGAGATCAGCTAAGAAATCAGACACTCAAACACATGGCAAATCTATTTTATGTACAGGAAAGCTCCCCAAACTTCACAGCTCAACAAGCAAAAATACCGCACAAGTAATGTTTTTTAAGCAATTTCTATTTTCCTTTGTCTATAGGTCTTAGTTTTAACATTTCAGCTTCCTGTAGTCAGAAGTACTAATGAAGGCACCTGCAGGCAACATTCTGCCTGCTACCCCTGGATGCCAGGCCTCTGTTCTGTAGGCTCTTCAGTCATATTTAGATAAGAATTGTCATTAAAAGAATTAAGACCAATGGCATACAATATGGGAACAGAGATTCTGATCTTTAAGTCAACTAGACGAGAAGCATGACAAGTACTTCAAGATCCACTGCGCATATATATATACACACACACACATATATATATAACGAAAAAGATTTAATTCTTCCCTCATGATCCAGAAATGTACATTATGGGCTAAAGAAGTCCAGAGTACTCCATCAAATTGATTCATTTGCTGGCATAGCACATTCTGCCAAAAATTTACATCTGGATGATTCTAAACCATTTCAGATTCAACACCCTTGTAAAATTCACCCCTATGTTTAGGTACAAGACCAATAACCAGTGATTTCCAGGAGATTTAAAAAGGTCATCAATGCACAATGGTGAAGTGGAATGAATGCTACTACTACAAAGCTTCATATCAAAACTATTTCTCTTTGACTTTTTACATTGTTGTTGATGCTTGCTTTTGAGTAATTCAAAATAAAATACACTTTATATTTGTTGAAAACAACTTACACCAAATAGTTCCAAGGGCATATATTCTCACGTAAGTGCTGCAGTTCAGTTATATGTTCAACAAGGAGTTTAAAAAAAAAAAAAAAAACCTCAAAACAAAACCCAAAATCAGTAGAGAACATGATCATGAAGGAAGTAAGAGTACTTCTCACAACTGTGACATTTTGATGCATTATAAGCAGCATCAGAGGTACTACCCAAGCCTTCCTGATCAATAGTTGTCTGCAACAGCCATTACAATCAAAGAAATAACTAAAAGTGGGATATGCTTTTCAGAAATCCTCCAGGGTGATGTTGGAAGAATTTAAAACAAAACAAAAACCTATCTTTAACATCCTGCCTCAAAAAAATGGTATATTATTTGCATGAACCTAAGTAGGCACCAGTCTATTTCCTCTAGAATGATCTGAGGAAAAATGACAAGCTCACACGTAGTAAGACATGAAAAATGCCAGTAAAAAAAAGAATAACTTTGCATCTTACAGAAGGATACGTGAAATTCTCCTTCACTTAAAGTTTCTTCATCTAATTTAAAAGCTTTTTGGAAATACGCCCTCCCCTAACCACAATACCTGATAAAAATGCAAATAGTCATGCCAGATAACATCATTAAAAATTTTTGGACTTGAAATCTAATTGAACAGAGGAATGCAATGAAGCTATCAGAAGTCAGCAAAGCTTCAGAGGTTCAACAGGTATAACTACTAAATACAGCACGGGGAGAAAAGAGAAAAACATGGCTTCACAATGGGACGAGGGCATGCCCTCCAACCAACTGCCAGAGAAGCCTACTTCTTCTAAAGCACTGATAAAATCCTCAAACCTATTTAAAATAAACACAGCTTAAATTCCTAACCATAGGTTGACAGGCAGTTCCTCTGATCTGGCAATATTGAATCACATACAGCATCTCAGTTTCTGCACAGAGGTTTCTTTTGGCTTACTACAAACTATTTTACAGGATAGAGTAGATTCTGATTTGCCACTGATTTTTAGAAATGTCTCTTTTGTACACAATATTCCAGCTGAAATGTAAGTTTTTGATTGATAAGACTAAAAAGAAGAAGTAGATAAGAAGCCTTCCTAATTAAATTTTACCCAACAGCTGTGTTTTTCCTATTATTTAGTAAACAACATTTGCCAACTTATAAAGCATGAAATGCTACATACTTGAAGCAGAAGAAAGCCACCACCTACTGCAGTTGCTGCAAGCTTTCCGACTTTCTGGAACAAAAATCCCGCACACCTTAGGAGAACAAAACAAAAAAAACCCAGTCCAATGAAGTTGTCTGCTAAACAATGCCACACTTCAAAATTCCTGACTACAACTATTACCATTTTTTCATTTAACAAAGCAAATGTATAATTTCACATTTTTAAATTTGAAAATCAGAATATTTAATACAAACAATGTTTAATTAGTAATATCTAACACAAGACAACATCAGTAATGGTTGCTAGTTCATGGCTGTCTGAGGGCCCCTTTAAAGCAAGCTTGAGATCTCCAGACCTTGCCTATACACAAAAGCTGCATGCTGCTGTTAAATGTAGCATGTTAATAAAGCACAATGTAATAATATAACAGTGCAATTGTAACTGTTCCCAAATGGAAGGTAAGTATGTTATACCATCATTTATATTAACTACACAACCTATAACTTAAATATCTAAGGTAAAAACGAGTTACATCCCTACCACAAGAGTTAGAATCAGCTGGGCCCCTCTACTGGGACATGACCTTAGTCTATTTTTAATGGATGAACAGCAACTAGAAAATGTGTATCTTGTTCGCAGCCTCCAAACACTCCCACATCAAATAGAGAACAGCACAGATACCAGTATCATAGAACAGTTTGGGCAGGAAGGGACCTCTGGAGATTGCCTGGTCCTGCCACATTCCCAAAACTGGGCCAGCTGCAAAGTCTGATCCAACCTCCAAGCTCAGTCAGGTTGCTCAGGGTCCTAACTCAGGCAAGCACTGAATGTTTTCAAGGCTGATGGTTCCATAACTTCTCTGGGCAACTCTGCTGGTGAATGACCCGCGCACCCCCCCCACC